GGGCGCAGCTCGCGGAGGTGAATTTCCTGACACTCCTCCGATCAGCTGGCATGTGTGGAATCGGCGGCAGCGGGCCGTCCTCGCCGTGGCTGCGCTGGTATAGCGTGACCCTAATTCTGCCCGTGTATGCGCCAACCAGGTGAGAAACGCGTATCATTATATGTAATTAGAGGTGTGGAGCGTGGGCTCAGTCATCTCAGGCCATGGTGGACACTCGCGAGTGTGGTCCGTTCACTTGGACACAAGTGTCCGTATCCTTTGTTGCAAAAGTAGAGGTGTTGAAAAACGTGTGCGGGTGTGCATATCTATTGCGGCACGTAAAGAGTGCTCCTTTGGGTGTGCCAGACACTTTCTGCATGCATCTATGATATTGAGACGCAGTTGTACGAGAGCACAAAAGTCACTTATGTGTAACAATAACGATGCGTTATTGCAGCCCTCGAAGCCTAGCTAAAAAACACAAGAATAGTTAAGTAGCTCTCTAGCATTACATGCTGCCATTTTTCCGAAGCATTTCCAAATGATTACCGTATACGCATCAAATTCCCCGTTCACATACAGCCCACCAGTCTAATCTGCACGCCGCGAGTCTCCGGTGACATGTCAGTCCTGCGGGACAGCAGGGTGCGGACCAAGCCCACCTGGCCGGGCCGGCAGCCGAGCGGACCGAGCCCACCTCTCCGCGCCGGCAGCCGAGCGGAGGCCACCTCTCCTGGCCGGCAGCCGAGCCCGCCTCTCCGGGCCGGCAGCCGAGCCGAGCCCACCTCTCCGGGCCGGCCGCCGCGTGCTCGTCGTTCGTGTGTGCCGTTCACGCGTGGCCGGCGCCGGCCGGGCTCTGGCCTGCTTTAGAACAGCGAGGGTTTTCACCGCGGCCGGCGTGTGCGGTGTACCAGCTCGCGCTGCCCTGCCAGGGACAACTTTCACTGCCCTTTGGAAAACGAAATTAGGTCTTGGAAAGCAATGGGAGGGCTCCGTTTGGAGTTTCAACCAGAAGTGTGACAGGTGCTACACTTCGCAAGCCCCCTCACGTTGTAAGCCCTGATGGACGTGATATGGATCAGGCAACCCAGAAAATCCAATCTACCTTGCTCGTTAAATCACTGCAATGCTCCCTAGCGAACGGGTGTCGGCTGTATTTCAGCCACGAGCTCAGAGATTTAAGGCTTTGATGAGGTGCGCAAAAATGGTTTACGGGCCCTTGAACTCGGCAAACGAGAGGCACTGCTGCGGCATGGCAGCCCTGCTGAGTCCACTGATGGCATGAGAGTTTGCAAATGTTCAGTAGTTCGTGCGTTATAAATGGGCATCGCCCTCTGTGGGCACGCCATTATTGTACGGTTAGATGTGAATGGTAGCTTAACTCTAGCTCAATACTACTTCGGTCATTTATGCTGACCTTGTCCACCCCATTCCTGGTCTCAGTCCAGCTGTGGGTAGAGGCATGCCACTCGTTTTCGATACATCACGGCGTGATGGATTTCTGTGCGCCCCACAGCCTCTCCGAAACGTCATGGGCTGTAACTCGCCAAGGTCAGGTCACAAACTAGCCCAGATCTCCACGTGCGGTCTCCCTTGGGACTGCTAGATTATGACGGATGCGCTAGTTTTTCAGTGTTAAGTCACGTCCTGTCGGGTGGCTATCGGGGGTCCTCGCTGCTCGCTCCTCGCTCCTCGCTTCACTTTCCAAGCTCCTTGCCCCTTGCTCCTCCCTCCTTGCTCCTCGTTCCTTGCTCCTCGCTCCTCGCTCGCAAGTGTAAACGAAATCAACATAGACTGATCACTTTTACCTAACACATTAACATCACTCAACAGATCTCGCGAGCTCCATTAAGTCCCGTCTGGCTTGCACCTGTGGTATTGTATTTTCTCTCAGCGCGATGTGTATAGGAGTCTCCCCTTGCCTTCTCATTCAGCACGCCCCTGGAAGGACAGTGCTGAGCCGCTCGAGTGTTTATATGACATTGACCCGCTGTTTGAGTAAAAACTGACGCACGCCGGTGACACTTGCTGACGGCTGTCAGACTTCGAGAAGCAAAAACCGCTCGGGTTCCGCTGGACGCGAACACGGATTTCGAAACAGACAGCAGCTCCGATCACTGTTAACGGCTCCGTATTGAGCGAACATGACAGGTTTTCGCTCGCCGTCCGTCTCCACCGGCGCAGAGCGCAGAATTTCAAACGCTTGATCTCTCCAACCGCCGCCTTTTTGTCCCGGTGTGGAGCAGGCGCCGGACGGTCCGCTGCTCCAATGTTCTGCGTGTGCCGGGGCGCACACCGTGACGTCATCGCCCGATGACGGATGGGCGCCGCGTCATCGCGACGCTTACGCCGTCGGCCCGTCGGCGTCGTGGCTCCAGCCAGCTCCAATCCAAACACCTCGAACTGGGTCAGACGAGGGGCGTGTTTTAGCCCAGCGCGTCGAGCACCCCAGCCGCTGTTATTCGACCACGCCCAGTGCCAACTCTGCGCGTGATTCGCCCACTCGAGGCCGATTTCTGCGTGCGCGCCGCGGCGCGCTGTTCTAATTGCCGGGTGCGCCGCGCCGTGATGGATCTCTGTTGACATTAGCCGATAGGGTCTGCTTATCCGAAGGCGTCGCACGATAGGCGCCGGCTCGGGGGCGGCTGGCGGCAGTCGCGGCTCGCGTCACACGGCGGCGCGCGCGCTCCTGCGGCCCGCCGCTGCCGAGCCGGGACGCACTGTGGTGACCTCAGGGGCAGGCTGGTGACCTCAGTGACGGGGCCTGGTGACCTGCGAACCGGCTGGTGCTGGCGCGGCAGGTTGTCGCGGTGACGTTGTTCGCCGATCGCGGCGGTGTCGGGTTCATCGCGGTGGTGTCGGGAGCCGACTGCTGTGGCCTCGGGGCTCGCTCCGGTGACCCGACGCTGGTGACTTCAGCCGTCGCCTGGCCGACGGAAGCCTCACAGGCGCGTCTGCGGTCCGCGTGACTCAGAGGGAACGAGGGCTGCCGGTGTCAGTCATCGCAGTGCAGCTCGGCCGGCCGGCGGCCGGTCAAACCCGGCCCGGACGCGTGCACCGCCGCCGAGTGTCGCCGCCGGGTGTCGCAGCTGAGTGTAGCGCCGCATCGCACGGCGCGCCCGAGCCACATGTGCCCGGGACTATTAGGCCGCGAGGTCAGCCCCCGTCAGTGTCGTGCGTGGGTCGAGCGGCGGCGGCGGCGCGCGCTGTGACCGTGCTGGGACAGCGTGGTGTGGCCGGGCGGGCCGTTGCCCCCTCCGTCCGCCCGTCCCCTGATGCGGTGCTGTTGTAATCCTGTGCTATCCGCGCATCTCCCGCCTGGCACAAAGCTGAACCCCTTGACCCCGAGCTGCATCACCCGCCCGTGCTGACAGCGTGCAACAACTTTGACGTAAATCTGCGACGGCGGGCCAATCGTGCTTGCTCATCTTGCCTTCACTTCCCGGTATTCCGTCACCGCCCCTGTATCTAGGCGCATCTCCAGCTCTTAATTTCGTCAGCGTCCTATCTCCCGGCTCCACCGCCCCATCCCGATCTCAGTCGACCGTGGGCGACCTTGACCCCCGCCATGGCGCCGGAGGATCGCCTGAGCTGCGGTCTGACCTCCCGCTGGTCTAACCGGACCACGGTCGCGCCGCCCAACCTCCCCGCCGGCGACGCGCTTCGGCGGCGCGTGCTCCTGCGGCCTGGCAGACCCGCCGACGCCGCGTCGAAGCCGACGCACCGTCACTCGGTGCGATTCGCCGCCGCCGACGCGCGGCCGCCGGCGCCGGCGAAGCGCCACTCGGTGGCGTTTGGCGCGTTCGTCGCGCAGCCGACGGCGGAAGCGAGGCCCAAGGGCGGAGTGAGCTCGGCGGCCGCCGCGGCGGCGACCCGGCCGGAGCCGATGGACCAGGGCATGCGCGACCTGCGGCTGGAGCCGGCCGGCGGTGTGGTGGTGCGCCGCGCCACGTCCACGCGTGCCAAGTATCGCTACAAGTCGCTCAGGTGCGCAGCGGGCGGGGGGGGGGGGGAGGGGATGACAGGGGGAGGTACGACCGGTGGTCGGAGCTTCCGGTGGGCTGTGACGCCTGGGAGGAGATGGAAGCTGGTCGCTACCGCTATGAGTGGTGTTATTTGCAGCCTGGCGTCCATGGAGTGCTCCGCCTGGAATTGGCAGGTTGTGATTATGATCGTGGTGATGCTACGGATGGCGATGAGTATTCTGCTATCCTTGCAGTTCATTCGATAGAGCGTCGGACAGTCTGGCCATGCTGTGGCAGCAATGACGGACCGCGTCCCGAAACGGTGATCATGGGGCTGATATTTGACGGACATTTGGCGACTTGCGACGAGCGCAGGAAAACAGCTGAAACAAGCACACGTGTGCATCGGCATTGCGTGGCGCGCCATTGCGCGTCAGAATCTTCTAGCTAAAATTGGAACTTGAGCTGGAATTTCTCTGTTTAGCTAGCTTTGCGGGTTTAGGGGCACGCCAACGGTAATGGTTATTTGCGCCCTAGAATTGCTCTGCTGGGTTGGTAGGGTTATTACAGCAACACATACGTAGAAAGCACCCTGACTCCAACGCGATCATGGGAAAACTTCTGGTAAATTTACGTCTAAAATAATTATACGACCGCTTGTGATACAACTGATGATCATACAGCGGGTGATAATGCTACAAGCGGTGGTGACGTGAATGCAAATAACACACAGGACGCGAATTGATGGCGCTTATAATGACGAAATCGTTATGATGACATTAACGCCGCCACGGCGGGAACGGCGCCGCCGCCGATGGTGACACAGGCGGCTCGGATCAGCGGGTGAGCGGCCGACGACCGCGGCGGGCGCATGCCAACATTGGCACCCACGCCGCGTCGTGCCATCAGACACGCCGCGTCGCGCCATCAGGCGACCCCTCCCGGTCACGAGTGACGCAGATCCGCCCGCGCCGCCGGTGGGGACACCGCTCCCGCCACTAAGACCAATGCGTTCGGGGGCTGCCGACTGATGACGTGCTGCTTTTCAGCGTGCTGTTCCCGTGGCGCCGCGGCGACTCCAGCCGCGCCTCGGGCAGGAGCAGCGTCGGTGACCCGGAGCCCGCCGACGAGGCCAGGCAGGATGCCGCCAGCGTGGCGAAGGTGAGCCAGGGCGCGGCGGCGCGCCGCCTCCGGTGTGACGACTCGCAAGCACGCCTGTAGCACGCCAGCTTCAGCACGCGCACCGGAGGTTAGGATGTTGTCATTCGGGAAGCGGAGGGTCCTCCGGATGCTGCTCCTGACGATGAAATGCAAATATACATGATAAAATAGATAAACATTATAAATGAATATACATGATAAAATGAATATACATGATAAAATGAATATACATGATAAAGTGGAATTCTAGATAGATGCAATATGTAGTCAGCGTAAGCGGCCGTTTTTTTAACACGGAACGCCTAAGAAAACGTTTTTGCGACTTTGCAAGTCAATCAGCACCTTCTTGCAAACTGCTTCCGTCTGTTTTAAGGCATGCCGAGTACCCGGCGATCAACGTAAACAGGGTGTTGATCCGCTCCAGGGAGTATCAATGCATCGAACCCGCGCCCAACGAGCTTTTAGGACTCCTCTCCGGCGTGATTTCGACTCACCAAATCGCCATAAACGTTCAAGGAAGCCATTACAGCTTGGCGCCGATTCAGTGGCTACGGTACAGCAACCATGGCTCAATAACATTCAGCCGGCTAATCGAAATACGGTGCTCGATATGGCGTAATTGTGAGCTTTATACTCTGCCGTTTCGCTACGCTATACAACACTGTGCAAGCGGACGGGATTGCGGTCAACGCCATTTTATCTGCTCCATTCTCTTTCTCTTTCCCTCGCCTACATTTATCGTGCTCTTTATATCTCTGTTCTCCCCTTCCAGATCACCATGATATTTGTTCCCTGGTATTGTTGGATGCGTTGCCAGAATGCATTGTGAATTCGCATTGTTCATGGTTCATGGATATTCGTAATGCATAGGCCTTCACATTGGCATGCTTCTATATCAGGCACATTGCAGTCAGTGACATTTGCTGCTTGCTGCTGCACTAACGCCAAATATGATTTGTCAATTACGTTATGTTTTTGCCCATGTAAAAAACATATATATCGGTACATGTATATCAAAGTTTCCCTCTGTTTCTCCCACTGTTGTGCTGCCTCACACCCATCTGTCGCCGCGTCTGAGGAGGCCGAAACAGGCAGCTCACGCCGCGTCTGATGACGCCGCCGCGCTCACCAGCCGCGTCGCCGATCACACTAATCACGGCGCCGATATGTGAGAGAAACAGGCTGTCCTGGGTGAAAGTAAAAACAGCCGGCGCGCCCGTCACGGCGCGACAGGCGCCGCCGCTGTCACGGAGTCAGCTGACTGCCCGAGGCACCCGCCCCCACGGCGGCCGTTCGGACGGCGCGACGTCGCTGTAGTCGCCCGTTACGGGAGGGGGGGGGGGGGGGGGGGCGGTTAGCACACGTCGAGGTGTTTTAGGCATCGGCCTTCGAGGCCGGCTGGGCTACGGTGGCGTGCGGCAGCCACGAGGGCTGTGTACAGCGGTCGACTGATACCGGACACGGTGCTGTAGCGACCAGCCTGTTGTGACCGATGTTGCTGTGGTAAAGCTCTGCAGCGGCGAGCTCTCTGGAGCGGGAGGTCGTGGTGGAGCGTTATTACCTGCGGTCGTATATTGGCTGGGTGTGGTAGTGTCGCTCGCTGTTGATACGATCATGTTTGTGTGGTGCGCTCACTTATTACCTGAATCCGATTGCGCTGCGGCAGAGCAGTGAAGCCAGCGGCAGTCTTTTAAAGTAGATTAGGCTACGGAAGAGCGACCAATAAAAACCTGGGCGACCAGGATTAAGTCGTTTTTTACTAGACAAGCTATTTCGCTGACTACGTGAAGCCGTTCCGAGCCGTAATTCTCTCATGAACACGGACATATCGGGCTGTAGCGATAAATTTGAGTGCTGTGTTCGTTGGTGGTTGCCTATTGGAAAGCATTGCTGGGGGCAGCTGTCCGTCACGGGCAGCTCCCACGTCCCGCCTCCGAGCCTGCCCCCGCCGCCTGCTTCCTGCACAAACCTGATGACGTCAAGCTCGCCTAATTCTGCGTGGAACGGCGCGGAAGCGCTTTCATAACGAACGAAAGTCGTCCCACAGTACTCGGGGGACTTTTGAAGTCCACGCACTGGCGGCTCATGGAAACTGGAAAGCGCGCCGGTGCTAAAACTGCTCGCGCCGGTACTAAAACCACTCGCATTTGCGCCCGCTCACTTTCGTCGGACGTTGCTCAACGCTCGCAGTCCATGCACCACGTGACAAGTGGCGCGCTGCGGCGACAGAAGTGGCGCGCGGCCGAGCGAAGCCGACTCTTGCACGACGGGCCCTCTGATATCATTTCATGGACGAAATCATGGGAACGACGGCGCATTACCAGTGGAAGCACCGCTGACAAGTACACTGGCTTGCGCCCGTGGGACCGGCGCGCCGGCGCCGATGAGCCAACGGGCGCGCCGCAGGGTACAGGCGCCGGGAATCGCACCGATCGGTGGGGTGCGGGCGCCGGGGATCGCACCGATCGGAGGGGTACAGGCGCCGGGGATCGCACCGATCGGTGGGGTGCGGGCGCCGGGGATCGCGCCGGTCGGCGGGGTGCGGGCGCCGGGGATCGCACCGATCGGAGGGGTACAGGCGCCGGGGATCGCACCGATCGGTGGGGTACAGGCGCCGGGGATCGCACCGATCGGAGGGGTACAGGCGCCGGGGATCGCGCCGGTCGGAGGGGTACAGGCGCCGGGGATCGCACCGATCGGAGGGGTGCGGGCGCCGGGGATCGCGCCGGTCGGCGGGGTGCGGGCGCCGGGGATCGCACCGATCGGCGGGGTGCGGGCGCCGGGGATCGCACCGATCGGCGCGGTGCGGGCGCCTGGGATCGCGTCGGTCGGCGGGGTGCGGGCGCCGGGGATTGCACCGATCGGCGGGGTGCGGGCGCCGGGGATCGCGCCGGTCGGGGGGGGGGAGGGGGGTGCGGGCGCCGCGCCCGGTAGGTCCGGTCCGTTCCCAGGCGCGGTCCGTCGCCGGCGGGGCCGAGAGACGAGGGCCCGCTCTGGATCGTCTCGGCCCCCGGCGGCGGACGAGCGGGGCGGGAGGCGCAGGGCCCGCTTCAGACCGGCCCGCCCCCTAGCAGCGGGCGGGCGGCAGGCCAACGGCCGTGCCGGCGTCAGAGCGGAATGAGCCCGTCTGGTGCCGGTTGTACGACGGATCGCCGGACAGGCCGGCGATCTGGACGAACGCAGGGCGAACAGCCGTCCGCCCGCATCCCGGCTCTATGCACATCAGGTTTCTCCTGTCGGCGATCCTGTAATGGACTTATTCTAATTTACGGCGAGAAAGCGAGGATGACACGCCTCCACGAAATAATCCCGATGAGCAGCGTTAGCGGGCGGCGCTGGCTGTCGCCGACTCGTGTCAGCGACAATGCCCAATCATCGCAGGCTGATTTCCATTCAATGGGTTGATGGGGAAGGTCGGAGCCATTGTTGGATGGAGCGAAGGTCGCTTTCTCACCTCGGTCCAATCGGACTGGCGGTGCAGTCTGGAGAAGTCTCCGTCACGCACACCATTTGTCATGAGGTGGTTTGTTCAGGGGCACGCCTGGCCTGTGTTATTGCGCCATCGCATCGTCAGTGGCGGAGAAGCCCAGAGGCTGTTCGCGGCTGCGTCATCCTGCTCACTCACTCCCGACTAGCGATTCATAGCGCGAGTGAAGCACTGGCAAATGTGCTCCTGGAGGGTCATCGGGCTCATTTCTGTAGCTAAACACCCGATGGAGGCTAATAAACGTTCATGCCGCCCATGGTGAAGGAATGTTCTTCCCAGCCCTGAAACCCTGCAACAATCGTTGTGGATCCCACCCGTTCAACGGGCTCTATTCCTCGTCGCGGCATTCTTCCCGTCACGTCTGTACGTCTTACGCGTCCGCTGCACCACATTTTGCGTGTCACTTTCCCGTCGGTGTCGTGCCCGACCACCCTATCTCATTTCATTTGTACCCGCATAGCTTTGCTTGATCCCGCTAATTTATGTCCGTCTTCCGCAGCCAGCTGCCAAATAGCTGGTCGGGTGACAGATTACCCTTGACAAGAGTAAGTGGAGCGCATGCGTTTGGCAGCGAAACCTTCCGCGTTGGCCTCCGGGGGCATGCTCCGCATTGTTTTCCGTCCTTTCCTGCCAATACGCGCCGTGGGTTGCCCTTTACTCCACCCCACCTGGCCCTGTCCAGTTTCGACATGTACAAGCCGATTCATCCGCGGTGTTTCTTTGGCTGACCGTTTCCTATCCAAACTGCCCGTTCCATATCCACACAGTCCCTTCCCTTTCCACACTGCCCGTATTCTGTCCATATGGTCCGTCTTCCTCCACACCGCTAGCCTCCCGCCTGCGTTGCCAGTTTCCCGCGATGTCTGGCCATGTCCTGTGCTCCCCGCCCGGCTCCTGTCCCCACTGCCCGTCCACACCCACCCCGCCCGCGTCGCTCGCCCCCGTCCCATCCTAGCGCGATTGGCGGCAGGCCGGGACGCCTGCCGGAGCCGGCAGCGGCCGGGCCGGACGGCGGCGCGAGCCTCTGCCGGCGGCTGGGGGCGTCGGCCGCCGCCCCGCCCGTCCGTCATCCGTCAGTGTCGCCGCCGTCGCCGCCGCGGTGCGTGCGCGTGCGTGCGCGTGCGTGGGCGCGGCCGCGAGCCCGGGTCATCGACACGCGGAGAGCGGGCGCCACGCCAGGAGCGGCCGGCCGCGCGGCGGGCCGGCGGTCCGGCGGTCCAGTGCGACGCGTCGGCCGGCCGGCAGCTCGGGCGTGGCGACCCGGGTCGTCAGGGGTCACGGGGTCGGCGGCGAAGGGGTCACATGTGGGTCAGCTCCGGCACCGGGCGTCGCTAGGCTGGTCGCCCAGCGGGGGTTTGTTTACCCGGTCTGCGGGGAGACACAGTGTCGCTCGCAAGTCTCACGCAGGGCTGGGGCCTGGACGCTGTCGACGCGTAATTGGATGGTGTCGGGCGGACCACGTGACCGGCCCCCGCCGGGTTAAAATCGCTGCCACTCCATCTCTGTGGCTGGA